TATATGTAATAAACTGATGAGGAATGGTTTTGTCAATGTTTCTGGTTATGACTTTGGGAATGTTCATATAGAGTGTATACATATTAAATTAGGCTTGATTTTCCATATTTTTCTCCACTTTCAGCAAGTTTTGCAAATTCTCATAGCTTCTAGACATAATTTTTGTTCTCAAAGGAAATCTAAAAAAAAACCTTTTGTTTACTTGATGAATATGAAGTACATCTCTAAGGATGGAATCTATCATACATTTTAACATTATAAGAATTTAGACTTGTATCGTGGAGTCTTTGCCTGGAAATACTAAAAAAGAGGATTAAAGTATGAGTGTATTTTTTCCGAAAAGGGCCCTTGTAGCTTTAGGCATTCACAGTGTAGAATGTCAGCTTTTTTTTTTAATAGCTAAATCTCTGTACTCCAATCAACATTTTCAATCTGTTCATATTGTCTCCCTTTGTACAAGAAGGAAGGCAACAAGCTTAGATAGAAAAACTAAGCTCAGCAAGTGTGAAATCACACTTGGATTCTTCGCCAAGCTAAATCTATTTGAAAACATCAAAACTTCAATATCATAAGAAGTAACCATTTCACTTTTATCTTGAAATAAAATTAGATAGGCTGTATTTGTTAGTTTTTTCCACCTTTGATTTAAATTTTAGAAAAAGATACTATCAAGCCAAATATATACTTTCAAATGTACTAAGGTGAGATACTATTAAAAGGAGATGTAGTGTTTATATATAGCAAGTAATGGCCCAATATTTTCCCTATATTTGTTTTATAAGATCTTCAAACGTGCTTAGAAATCAGAAATAGAAAGCAAAATATTAGAATCTTCACAATAAGGTTAATATTGTAATAGCATTGTTATGTTATCATGTTCTCTTCATTTGTTAAGAAAGTAATAAAATGTGGAACACAGAAAGACCCTTGGACCTTGTTAAATTTCATATATTTGTTCTGCTGTGATCAGTATTTAAACAGAAGACTTACACAGAATGTAAAATACTATGAGAAAAGCATTAGATAGAAAAACTAAGCTCAGCAAGTATAAAATCGCACCTTGATTCTTCGCCAAGCTAAATCTATTTGAAAAAATCAAAACTTTGTAGATCTAAGAGTAGTACTCCTTTATCCAATTAATTTTCTTGATTCAGTGTCACTAAATCTTTTCATTTACATCTTCTCATATCTGTTCTATTTATTCCCTTTTTTCACCTAGTCCTTTTCTTCATTACTCTCCCTCTTCTTTCACTATTATGTTTAGTAAAGAGTCATAGCAGGAATAAATAAAAAATACAGGACAACAAATGAATAATTGGAGATAGCTTAATGACAGCAATGTATATTTCACAAAGAAATAAGTTCCTTTACAATCTCAGTCCTTTGCATAATTTGGTTGATTTCTAAAATTTAAGTATTTAAAGTTCTTTCCATGTCCGTAATATTTACTCAAGATAAATTGTCATGTCACATACCCCAAAGCATAGGCAACAGAAACACCTTCACAAGGAGAAAATGTAGCTTCTTTGTTAGGTTTTGGTCTTCTCTTTTATTGTCATCAAATTCTAGATTCAGGAGTTGATTTTGGGGCTTTAAAATGCATGGAGGGCTCTCAATTTATGATGCCTAAACTTGTGATTTTTCCAGTTCAGAATGGTATACTAGTAATGCACATTCAATAGAAATATTACTTTGTTTTTTAAAGTTAATTCATTTTATTTTTTGTTTAATTTTTTTTCATAAATACATGCCTGTATTACATAGTGTTATTATGCCCCATGGGGAAGAGGCACATGTAAGTACACATCTTCTTTCCTTTTTCATTCCCTAATCTTCCATCTCTCCCCATCTACTTATCACTTAATCCCCTTCCATTCTTTGTGCATATTTGCAGCACCTAATGTTGACATGCTATGACTGGAGATTGCATATGTACCTGACACATCATGGAGGGGGAAGGGAAAGAGGGATGGAGGACAGGAAGGGGGATGAAAACAGAAACATCACTTGTAATTCTGAACTTTGGTCTTTCCCCAATCTTGTCATATGTGGTACAATAATCTCTCTGAATTTTGGGAAGCAACAGTAAGAGTAATCAATTCACAGTAAATAGGGTTCTTGGTTGTGCAACTAAAGTATTTGATATGTTACAATATTTAATGTGTTTTTGACCTAAAATGTTTTCAATTTTCAAGAAGTTTATAGGATGATTAATCCACTGTAAGGTAGTGACCACTTACATTTTCTTAGTTTCTTTCTCATTACTGCAATAACCAACTCCATCAAACTAAGGGGCTTAAGCCACACAGATTTACTGTCTTGAAGTTTTGTAAGTCTAAGTCTTTGGTGATACTAAATTTCCCAGAAAATAGATTTTATTATATCTCTATTCCAATCATTTGGTACAATACAGCAAATACTGGTCTTCCACTTTTCATCAAGTTAATCCTGCTTTCCATGACTAACAGGAGACTGGACCACATTCATCTGGATCATAGTGTTTCCACTGCTCTGGCTTGGTCCTGCTGCATACTTTAACAGTGCATAAAGCTAAGAATTTTAGACTCACAATCTTATATTCCAAACATCTGTTACTCAAATAATTAAAATTTCAAAAGTTGTTCATCATCTGTCATCTGTTTGCAGTACTGGTTTCCAAGAATTGATGTAATCATTCTTTCTATGAAATTCTCTTGTCAATTAATTTTCCTATATGTTTAATTTCAATTATTTCTATAGATTAATGTGCATCTTATTAGTGATTAGAGAGACTAGATTTGTCTTCCCTGTCTCCTTACCCTACTAACAAGTATTTAATTGTCGATGTTACACATTCATTCATACACATTGGCCAACATTCCCAGCGTGGATTGAGCATCTCTTGTCTGAAAACTCTAAATTTGAATTACTCCAAAACTGGAAAAACTTCAAGTTCCAGAGCAACACAATTAATAAAAAATTCTACATCTCACTTCATGCAGTGGATTATAATCAAAATATCTATGTGAAAAAGTGTGATGCAAAATTTCCTTCAGACAATGTGGATGAAGTAAATATGAAACACAAGTGACTTTTGTTTGGATGTGAGCCCCATTCTCAAAAAGAGCTTACTATGTTTACTGAAATATTTAAAAATTCAAAACAAATCTAAATTCTGAAACATTTCTAATCCTAAATATGTAGTTACTGAAGACTTATCACGGACCTTAATCTTTATTAGGAGGATATACCATTGGAAATATTTGGAAAAAGGTTTTCATTTGTTCATTCCTCCATAATAATGAATTGTAATATAAAAATGTCAAGAATTACGTAGGTTTTATTTTGAGAAGGTTGAAAGTCTGAAAAAGCATTCTGAAATACAAAGTTATTTGTAGTAATGTTGAAACGGAGAAGAGCAAATTTTGATGCTAAAGTAATGTGTGTCAGAAGAAGCTCATTAATCTTAAAACTTGGGAACATCTTTCTATAGGAGCAATATTTGAAATAGTTTAAAGAATCAGTTGGAAATGAATAACAGGAGCCTGGAGAAATAGTTCTAAGGCCAAAATTTTCATATATGAATCACAAAACGGAAAGCATTTTGATTAGTCATGGACAGAAAAGGAAAAAAATAAAATAAAAAAATAAGTCTATGACGCTATTTTGGAGCCATTCACAGAAAGTCTTTCTGGGGATAATTCACGACTGCAGATTTTTTCATAAAAGCAGTAGGAAGCTCATTTAATCTTTTAAGCAGAAAAATGGCATTTTCTGATGCGTTAATATTTAAATAATTTAATTCAATTAGTATGTACATAAAACAAACTGAATAGATTTTATTGAAGAGGAAAACTAGATGTTTTTTTTAAAATATGAGCACATGTGTAATCATACCTAATCAAAATATACATTTCCCCACCTGACACCATGCCCTCATGTTTCTTTTTAATTGATCTGTGTCTCCCAGATGCTACTATTATAAGACTTTTTTATCACCATAGATTAATATTGTTCTAGAATGTCATAGAAAACAAAACCATAAAGCATTTATTTGTGTTAATAACCTTTTCAAAATGCTTTTGACATTATGTTATTTAAAATTTTATTTTATTTTTGTCATTGTTCCCTTTTGACAATATATCATAATGAGTTTAGTACTTCCTCTGTTGGTGGGAATTGAGTCGTCTCAACTTTTTAGAATTGATCAATAAAGCTATACTGAAAATTAATCACTCCCTTCATTTAGTGGAGGTTTTTAGGGCT